TTATGATAAAAGGACGGTATTTTATTGTTGCTTTTTCTCTAGTACATTCCTCTCTTTATATACATGTTAAGAAATCCAAAAAATCCAAAAAATCCCTAAAATCCCAAAAATCCCTTAAGCCCCAATTAAACCCCAATTGGGCGAGGATGACATATGTTGAATTTATCTAATTTTTCGGTTCCTCTTACAACATATATAAAATTTTAACAAAATTCTTAATCTAATATATAATAATATATGGAAACTCAGAAATAATAAAATGATTTATTAGAAAAAATTTTTTGGAATTATAACATAATAAAAAAATAACAATAACAAAAACAAAAACAACTAAATTCAATCCAATAAAAACTTATCTATTAATAAAATATTAATAAATCAAATCAATAATAACTATACTTTTTATTTTAATTCCTTTCTTTTAAATATTTTTTTCAATTGTATATTATTAATCAAAAACTTATTTTCATCAAATATAGATGAAAAACTAAATTATTAAGAAGACACAAACCTTCTAATTTAGTTTTTAATTATGGTTTTTATGGAATATATTTACTTATTAGCAAATCAATATTTAGAACAACATATCTTAATATATTATTATTGTTATAAATTTTATATTTAGTTATCTCTGTAAAAATTAAATCAACAATTAATAAAAATTATAATTTGAGAAGTACCTTGCAAAAAAAACAAAAAAAAATTATATTAGAAAAAAATTATATTAACTTTATAAAAAATATTTATATCTATATTACAAATAAAGATTTTAATAATTTTTTTGATTCTATATTTAATTCTCAAGTTTATATTAAATTTAATAAGTGGAATATAACCTATTATTATTTTTAACAGTGTTTCAAACCTTATATAATTTTATATAATTTTATTTAATTTTAATTTTTGAAACTATACTCTAAATATCAGTATACTGTATATCAATAAATAAGCAAGCTCTATAATATTTAATTATTTTTAAAAAAAATTATAATAAAAAAGTAAAATATGTAATAAGATGTTGTTTTGTTAAAGTAATTTTTTTAATATTTTTAAGAAATTATTTAGACAATAAGTTTATATATTAGCAAAAAATAAAATTATTATATAAAATTATTTTAAATAATAAATCATATTTTAAATACTTTTTAAAAATAATAAAATAATAAAAAATAATCAGTTTATTCAATTATAAATAATGATAAGAATTTATTTTGATAAATGAGTTATATATTTAAAAGGATTTTTTATTTATTATTATAAATTTTGTTTCTTTTTCATTTTTTATTATTGATAATTACAGATTTATAATAAAATAATAATTTCAAATATAAGTAGGTAATTATTTTTTTAAATTAAAATATAAAATATTTTATATATTACTTTTTTTTAAAAAAAAAACAATTTTTTTATAAGGTTGATAGAAATTATATAGTATATTGTATTATAATTTTAAATTATTATAAATAATGTTTAAATATTTAAATAAATAAGTTATTTGCAATTAAAATAAATAATGCCATTACTATTTTCTTAAAGCAATACTTGTATAATTACAAATATTTTTTTATATACAAAATAATAGTTAAATTAAATATTGTATATTAGTTTTTTGTTTAATATCGTGCATTTATTTAATTTTTATTAACTATTGAAATTTCTTCAGTTTTAAATTGACATTGTAATATTACCAGAGATCTTAAACTTTATTCTGGTAATATAAAATACAATTATCTGAAGTCAATGCTTGATGAGAAGCCGGACATCTAAGATGTCAATAATATGCCAAATCAAGGATTACTGTAAATTGTATGGGGTATACAAATCAAGCGAATTTTTTGGCTCACATATTATTATTTGACTAAGGATTTCTTTTAAGAAATATTAATTAATTTAATATTTTATAATTAATGCAAATATTAAATTTTTTTAAAAATGCTAACCATCAAGACATGAAAACAACATTTCTAATCTATGCTTACTATGAACAACAACAATTTAATTTCATAATAAGCCACGATTAATTCGTATTGTCATTTACTAATGGTAAGGTTGGTGTTGGAGGAGTATGCTCGAAACGTGTAACGAAAGTATTTGGGTATGATGCAATCTTCATTCTTCGGGCTTTTAAAGTATGCGTAATATCAGACGGTAAAATTATTCAAATTAGTAAAGTTAAAGTTGCAAATAAAAAAATCTCTATGACAAATACCTTTCAGAACCGTAGGTTGTTTGCAGATATATTGTAGCATATCGTTATCATCTGAATCAAAAATTTCCAGCTCGTCAGCGTTCTCACCTTGCATGCCTTCCGCGGTTTGATCATGATATTTATTGGTGGAGTTCACGTATTCTTGTACTATCTCTGCCCTTCTATTCTGATAACTGTTATATTTTTTGAATTTATTAAAACCATTATAATCTGAAGAACTTATAGAGTCTCTACGAATTTTCCTGGTTTCATTGGTTTTTACTGAACATTTATCTTTCTGTTTCTCTGGATATTCTATAAATTTTTCTTCACTCAATTGAGGTTGTGCAGTCACGTGTGCCTCAGGTAGTTTTGGTGTTGATCGACGTTGAATCTCCGCCACCAGCGCCAGTGAATAACGGGATGCATGTCTTTCGATTCCTGGAGATATGCGGCGCACCAATTCAGCTGACAGAATTTCCGAGTAACGTGTCGATGCAACATCGGAAATAGCTGGTGAGATTGTCTGTGAACTTTCGCTATCATTATCTGTGGTTTTATATATTACGAATTCGCCTTTAATTTCATATTTCAAAAGGTCTACCACCATATAGCTTTCCTTACCTGTATATCCATTTTGAGATTCGTCATAGAATATCTTATCTGATCGATAATGTTTACGCAATAACTCCGTGTATATAGGACCTGAGATTGCCATTGACGGAGTTCTCAATTTCTCAAGATCAACTTGAGGAAGTGGAACGTAGTTTGATTCGTCTAGGTATAATATACAGTAATAAGTGTGCGGGATTAGATACTACAATCACATGATCAAATTTCTGATAAATCCTATTAAAGTGTACCTTCGCGTTGATTAGCCATATGATATCTGCCTATAACTATAAAAAATATGAGATTAAAATAATTTCGTACTCGTAACATACCTCTAAGGAAATGTTTTTTTGCATACCATCTTTATTAGAATTGTTCGTTGACAAGACTAGATATTTATCAAAATTTGTAAGTCAACCTATAAACGCAAAGATTATTTAACGCAATACACGACAGATGAAACTTAATCTTACGTCGCGTGGCGCTCCCAAATGCAGAATCGTGACGAGTTCGATTAACGAAATTTGATTGTTTCAAATCAATGTAATTAAACGGTCGACTAGTATAATGTGCTTCGGGATGAATTTTCAAAACCGCCGGATCAACTGTCTGCCTGTGACCTTTGGATCCTGGTGATTTTTGAATTTTCCTCGCATCTACGTCATTTAAAGTTTTGGTGGTATCCGTTGAACGTTTCTGCTCTAAATCAAAATGCCATCTAAATAAAAGTCCCGTAATCTCATGAATATTTGGACGATTTTCCGGATCCGAATTCCAACATCTTTCCATAAGCGTTGTAAAAGATCTTGGTGTTCCCTCCAGGAGTGGAGGTCGAGCTCCATTACAAATCCCTACCGCGAGATCACTATCATGAGCACGATTACTGAATGGCGGAATTCCAGCCGCAACTTCCCACATGATAATGGCCAAGCTGTATATGTCGGCAGCTGGTGTGTATCTTCTACCTTGTAAAACTTCAGGTGCTATATATGGCAGGACACCACATAAAACATTACCCCCATTTGGAATCTGACACAAACCAAAGTCACTGATCTTAATGTATTCATCGATCTGCAATATATTGCCGCTGTGAAAATCTTTATGGACAAATCCAGCTTGATGAAGATCCTGAAGTGCCATAGCAATCTTGAGCAATATACGTAATCTTCTTTCCCAATTCAGCGCTCGATGGTTTTGAACAAGGAAGCTGCGTAAATTTCCATGGTTTGCATATTCACTAACTATCATGTAGTCTTGTGTTTGTGGATCTTGAGTGATTCCATAGATGCGTACCATTGATCTGTTCTCTGCACCGCTTTGGAGATATGTGCGTATCTTTCGAATAATGTAAAAAGTAATGATTGTTAGAATAATTAGTCAAAGAGGATGATGATGACTGCCATCATGCATACCTCATGAAAAAATTCCCCAGCCATGTTTGCCGAATTATCAATACTCTTAACTGTGACGGTCATCGAATTGCTCCTAGCCCACTTCTTTGCTTTTTCATCCCAATGCGTGATATAACCATCCTTCCACGTTGCCGAGAAAACAGTTCCGTAACCACCTTTTGCGATATACTCTACATCGTCTATCGATTCATATGGTATCCATTCCAATACCTCGCGATGACTTTTTGCACTCAATTGTATTTCTTGAATAAAATAATCCACTGCATCATTACCACTCGACCAATTATAAAAATTATTCTTAAACCGAAAATTATTGCATGGATGACACCAGCCGGCTTTTTGATACTTATCAGTATTCGGTTTACGACAATCCCGACATTTTCCGACCAAAGATTTTTTGGACTTTAATGGGGTATTTTGTTTGAGCGGTATATCCAGCATATTTTCATCGTCGTCTATATACTTTTGTTTACCACACTTGACACCCATTTTCTAAGTATCAATCTGTTATAATTAAAAAAAAAAAGTAGGAAATCGACAAAAAAATTTTTCTACATTATTATCTACTCATGAGCTGAATTTATGTAAATAGAAAATCGACTCATATATGCTCAATTGATTTTCTAAGATCTCCAACTCGCGTAAATTTAATGTACGTAAATACGTAATCTAAGCAATAAAAAGGGTTTCATGTGTGACGTTCCTGTTCCGTATATAGCTATATGCATGAGAGTCGTGCAAAAAAGGAACTAACACTAACCAAAGACAAACCAAAAAAAGGATCGTTCTTAACATTCGCCTAAACTGTCAAAGTCCATTGATGCAAGGAACAATGATTAAATGAAGAATTCTGGAAAGCTAAATCTTTTAAATTTATTTGTGCACCAGTTACTGGTGTTTCTGTAAGTGCGTAGGTATTCTGAGACAAAAAAAACCTTGCACTGTGTAGAGTTTTAGGTTGTCATCACTGTCCCCACTGTCTCTACGCCTGCCCTCTCCTCTCATTAATAAAATTCCGAGTGTTCTGCGTGTGTACGCACATATTACGTAACATCATAACCATATACAAGGGCTAATTATTTTTATGCAAAATTGCCTTCTTACTGGATTTAGCACGTAGATGTGCGAGAACAAAAATTACGATGTGCAACAAGATCGATAATACTTAAAACATCGATGGGTGATAATTGTGCAAAATACGTTGTCTTTATTAGGTTGTTCTATTAATAAATTTAATTTGCTTTATTCATACTACTTTTAATGCCATTCTTATAATAGATAGATTGTTTGTTTATTAAAACCCCGGTTGATATTTGCAATTGCTTCGTTTCACCTTATAAAGCGTCTTTCATCACTTGACTAAA